GCTGGGCGCCGCCGCCGCCGCGCTCGCCCTGTACTCGGCGCTGCCCGAGCCGGCCCGGGCGGACGACGAGCCGGTGACCGTGCTGCTGTGGTGGGAGCCCTTCGGCCGCCAGCGGCGCTTGCCCGACTGCCGGCGGCGCTACAACATCAGCGGCTGCCGCCTCAGCGCCGACCGCAGCCGGCTCGGCGAGGCGCAGGCGGTGCTGTTCCACCACCGCGACCTGGCGCGGCACGGCGCCGAGGGGCTGCCCCGAGGGGCCCCGCCGCGGCCCCCGCGCCAGCGCTGGGTGTGGATGAACTTCGAGTCGCCGTCGCACTCGCCCGGCCTGCGGGGGCTCGCCGGGCTCTTCAACTGGACCATGTCCTACCGCCGCGACTCCGACGTGTTCGTTCCCTACGGGTATCTCTACGCCCCGCCGGCGCCCCGGCCCTTCGTCCTGCCCCGCAAGACTCGGCTGGTGGCCTGGGTCATCAGCAACTGGAACGAGGAGCACGCCCGGGTGCGCTACTACCGCCAGCTGAAGGAGCACCTGCCCATCGACGTGTACGGGGCGCGGGGGCTGGCGCTGGCCGAGGGCGGCCTGGTGGAGACCGTCTCAGCCTACAAGTTCTACCTGGCCTTCGAGAACTCCCAGCACACCGACTACATCACCGAAAAGCTCTGGAGAAACGCTTTCTCCGCCAGGGCCGTGCCCGTCGTCCTCGGACCCCGCAGGGCCAACTACGAGCGCTTCATCCCCCCCGATTCCTTCATCCACGTTGACGACTTCCCCAGCCCGCGGCTGCTGGCCACCTACCTGAAATTCCTCGATAAAAACAAACCCAACTACAGGCGGTACTTTGCCTGGAGGAAGAAGTACGAAGTCCACGTCACCTCGTTCTGGGATGAGCATTTCTGCAAGGTCTGCGAGGCTGTTCGGACAGCTGGGAATCAAATCAAGACTGTTCAAAATCTGGCCAGCTGGTTTGAAAGCTGATGTTCCTGGAAGATGAGGCGTGCTGGACAGCCTGGGCCAAGCGCCAAGGTGTCAGGCAGGATGGATCTCACAGAGATCATTAGCCCAGGTAGTCGGCATTAGCCACTGGAGACTGGCATCACTTGGAGAAGGAGACTGGTACAGGAAAACAAGCTGTGAAAAGCCTATAAAAGGAAGATTTTTATTAAAGAGAAAATTATGAAGGCGCAAAGAGACATTATGCCAGATGATTCCTAAAGAGCAAAGTTAAATTTCCAGAAGTTGCACAGTTACAGAACTTTTAAATTTCTGCACAGCTCAACATAAATATCCAATGCCAAATTCCTCAGCTGTACAGCTGAAACCAATTTTGGCGGCTATGACAACTTCCTGGAGCATGAAACTTTCCTCTGCTCACAGAAGATACATGATCAGTGCTGGTTTTCTGTAATACTAAGACAAAAATGAATGTTTTAAACTGTTTTTTATGCATGTGAAAGCTATTTACAAATTCTGAGCCGCAAGTGTTGAATGTAAGAATCTTATGATACAGTAGCACCTTTTAGCAGTGCTTGAAATTGCAGCAGCCAGTTAATAATGCTTTGAACCAAATAATTGTTCCATTTAGGAAAAAGTGTATGGAGGCGACTGAATCTGAGTGGACAAACAGCTCAGGTGATGTAAAGTATTCTGCTACCTGCTGAAACCATAGGCATACTTATCCTGTATGAGAGTAGAGTAGAACTTTAAGTACAGGAAAACGCAGACTGTAGGGAAGAAAGTCAGAACATTTCCACCCTTCCTTTATTCAGGAATTAGAAAATGTTTACAGGTATCTGCATGTTTTTCTCTGCAAAATTATTGCCATGCAGGAAAATGCAGGCAAAGGCTCAGAATGGCAGGGGTTTACTGTATTGACTATATATACTGAAAGGCAAACTTTTTTCTCAAGTATCAGTAGACAGTGCCGTTGCGTAGCAACTCATTTGGTTTTTGGCCTGCATTTAAAAAAATTCTGCTGGGGAACAGACTAATCAGAATGTTGTTTTGTTGTTTTAAAAATAATAATTACCAAAAAAATCCCCAAACTCCCAAATCACTTCCATTCAGAAAGAAAATTACTTCAGAGAATAAGATCTACACTGTCAGTAAAATACAGATTATGTAAGGAAAGAATATAAAAAGGGAAGGATTTACTATTTTTTCTTCCTTTCATTTTGAGGTCTTTTTGTGGCTCAGTTTTTTAATCAATAAATAGGTTCTTAATGTAGAACTCCCTTGCTCAGTGCCTGTCAGGAATGCTTAAAATAGTTATTCCCTTTCAGACTCCCACATTTTGCTGGAGCCATCCTAGTAGTGGATGTGTGGTTACTTTTTGGTTACATGTGATCTTGCTCAGCCAAAGCCAGAATGAAAATTCAGTTACAATTACACATCCTTGCCGAGCTCAGCCTCCCTGTCTTTTGCCGCTGTGAAGTTTGGTGGCAAAAAAATGGCAACCTACAAGACACTTGCCCATGTGAATAAGGTATTAATTCTGCTGCTTTTTAATCCATGGAGTTACTCAGAGACTTCACTCACAATAAAATCATGGGCACAGAACAGGTAGGAAAAGAAGAAAGTCAGTTGCAAATAAAAGATGGGCATCAGAACAGGCAGCCTCGCTGGCATTTGTGAGTCATATTTAGGTTAGGAAAGGATTAGATTTGATTTAAGCAGGATGGGATGCTGGATGAGTGCATTTAAGATGGCAGTCTACTGTAATTTATTTCTAGTTAGATGTTCCCCATGATTAGGTAAGCACAGAGCCAAGGATTATTGGGAAAAAAACTAATAATAATGAAGTTCATTTATAATTTGCAGTTTTACCAGTTCAGATCTTGCAGGCTTCTCCAATTATTCCCTTCTGCTTTTGTGCAAGGACGGTTGGCTAAAAGTACTTGATGAACTTTTTTGTTGTCAGTGCCAGAGTTGCTGTAGAATATTATTCTACGCATATTGCATGGGTAGAATATTTACTGGGAAGGGAGTGAAAACAATGTATGCAATGTGGGATATAGTAGGGATGATTCCTAATGCTGCACTTTCACTCCAAGAAGTATAAAGTGATTGTTTAAAGCAAAAGAGTGTTCTTCATGGCATGGAAATCTGTTTCTCTATCAGTAGTTACTACTCCCATAATACTGAGTTTGATATTTTTAAAACTCCAATATAGGTATAGTATTAAGAGTAATACCCAAGTGTCAGGATGAATATATAGTATTTTTTTTCTGTTCAGTTTTTATCAGAGTTTGCAGAACTGTATACAAAAACCCAATCTTAAAAGTAATGGAATAGTATTTAAAATTGCACTACTTTTTATCAGTCTGCTGAAGCCAGTGCATTTTTTTCAGCCCTCCTAATTTTTTTAGCATTTTGTGAAAGTTTCCAGGCACACGGTTCTTCTGTGTAATCATTAGTAATGCCACATGCAGAAGATCAGGCTGCAGGAGCATGTGAATTTCCAGAGATTGCAAATGTTAATTTCCTTCTCAGCCTCTCTAAAAAAAAAAAAAGTTGAAATCTTTGAGAGAATTTTTTTGTAAAATTCAGAAAAAAGCTGCAAAGCAATTAAAGTATAATTTGGGTAAAGTGGTCAGAATTGCATGGTATTTGTAAATTGTGCATTGAGGATTTTGAAGAACTGTATGGTGAAAACTGCAGATGTAGAGCAATTATTGCAGAGCACACTTGCATTGGGAGAACAGAAGTCTTTTCTAATTTCATCATTCTTACATGGATGTTGCAAATTTGTGGCTTTCCATTTGGGAGGAAACTCAGCCCAGGCCTATGGCTGCTGAAGTCAGTGTTACAGAATTTCTATAGATCTCTGGTTTTTGGTCATCCACACCATGAGCTAATAGTGTACTGTTACAGGCAAAGGACGGGTATTAAGTTGTTTGTCCTAGAGCTAGTTCTTATAAGCCCTAGAAAAACACTTAATACACCCAAGGATAGCTCAGCTACACTTTGGGGGCATAAAATAAGCAGGATGGCTTCTGCTGTGGTGTTAGAAACAAAAAAGGTTTAATAAAGGCAAAATAATAAACAGAAAAACTCGAGCCAGGTACAGAGGTCTGCCCCTGGTAGAAACACTTCACACAAAAGCCCCTCTTCTCCTTTGTTCTGTTCTTTTCTACTTGATTGATCAGGCGGGACTTTTTGGCTTCTATCCAATTAGGTGTTCTCTGGTGTTTGGTGAAGTCCCTGAGGCCCTATGAGGTGGCTTTCCACCTAACAGGTGAGAGAAGCTTCTGGGCTTCTTTCCTTTTTTGGGGGACAAAGGTTAGTTTTTGCCACTCTGTCATTAGGGGGCGCATTCCTACAGATGGGCTTTTGTAATGCACTTTGTAGAGCTCTAGTTCAATGATAAATATAGGGATTGCCTGAACAAACTGGTTTGTACACTGGGTACCAGGGTATTGCAGATGATGTATACAATCCAGTTGTAAAAACTGGGGAAAGCTATTTTCTATTTTTTGTAGAAAAGTTTCCTTGGATACATTTTGGAGAAGTTTTTATTCCGTGCCTTAAAATATTGGGGTGGAGGGAGAGAAAGGAAGATCGTTGTCTTCTGGGTTTTATAAGAAGAATTACCATTACATTTTGGTAGATGTAAATGGAATTATGTGATTCCCTCAAATTGCATATTGTATCTCAGGGAATTTTATACTGTAAGGTATCTTGATCTTCATAGAATGAAGAAACTTTATAATAATTATATATATTGACACTCAATAAAATTAAATTAAGTATTGCAAAACTGCCCTATTTTTTATTCTGTTGTCTGTGTTATGAAGGCTGAAGAAAACTGCTTTTTAAAGAGAATGAATGTCTTTTCATGTTTGTTTAATAAATAAAAGTGGCTGATTGTTCTCAGAGTAGTCAGACCATCTGAGGTTAGGCATGAAACCTGGTTCTGCCAGGAGAAAAATATTTTCATAGGAGACGCTGTGCTGAGTTATTTTCTCTATCAAAAGGTGCATTTATTGAAGTTGGGTGTTGGAAAAATGTCATTTCAAACAAAATCAAAAAACAAACTTTCTCTTGACCTACAGAGAATTTGAAGGTGGTTGGATTCTTTTTGTCCCCCTTAAATTTCAAAATGAGACTATGTTTATTTTGGTATTCAGCATGTAGTGCTTTATCTTCCCTTTTAGCTACAGCTTTTTTTCCACGGTTGTTCATGGTTGTTTTCAACAGAGCAACAAAAGACCAAGAGCCAAAAGCTGTTTTCCTTAAGCTTGTGTTAACACTGATTGCTGCACAAGTGATGGCTTACCTCTCTCTTCACTCATCTTCTGTACAGGTTAGTGCACAGTATTGAGAAAGCATTTCTGAAAATTCCTGCCCATCCTGGAAGGGGGCATGGCTACAGACCTTGCTTTTCCTTGTATCTTTATCACATTTAACTTTTCTAAGTAGAGCTTAAACTGACTGCTTGCTTAGTCCTGCCTGAGGGAGGAAACATTTTTTAGCTCATTTTCCGGATGGCACTGAACACTGGGTTTGGGAAACTGGTTAAATATTTTTCTGACAAATATTAGGTACCATTTGTTCAAGCTTGTTTGGTGAGTGTGTGAGTGAGTTATGCCTGATTAAACTCACACAGCTCTCTATCCAACAGTCATATAAAATGGTGTTTGGTTTAAGAGAGTAAATAACCCTTTGTAGGGTGCACAGACCCGACTCAATCTAAAATCTGTTGACGAGAACACAGCGACTTAATGTGGATTTAAGTGGTGTTTAACTAAAGATAACTCAGGATCCAAGTATAACAGCCTGGTTTTAATCAGTAAAAAAAAAAAAAAGAAAAAGTCATTATGTGAGTAACTTGCCTGTAACCAGCTTGGTTTATGTAACCAACTCAGTTTAAAAATTTGCATAATTATGTCTTTTCTTCTGTATGGTTATTTAAAAAACAATACCCCAGGCCAGAATTTCTATATCTTCTTTGCATTCTGAAGATTTTTTTTTTTAATGGTCTTGAGCTAAATTCTTAAGCTTAATTTTCACATAATGGCAGATGTTCCTCAGAGTCTCACTCCAAAATTATCTGAGATAAAAAAGCTGAACCTGTTTTTCAGGAGTGCTTTGAGAGCTGCAGGGATTTCTCACTGCTGGCACTAAAGGTTCAGGAAGCATTGAGAAGTTATGACCCCCTTTTAATTGAAAAATTTTCTCTAAAGGAGTACATACTTTTTTGAATTCCTTCAATGATTTTAGGTCCTTATAATTGCATGGGTTTAATTTTTGCAACGGTATAAAACTGGACTTTATTTCAGGAATACTCAATATTTTAGTAAAATTCTGTTAATAACTATGAAAAATGGTCCCAAATTTGGAACTTGAATTTTTCTCTGTTTACCAAAACATCTTTTGGAGTTAATCAACCCATAGGTTGGCTGTATGCATTATGGACGAAAATTCTGCATCTGCATCCTTGAATTTGCCATTGGTGCAAAAGAAGCTGTAGATATTTTGGGTTGCGAGAAGCTCATAAAACAGGAAAACAGAGCATTAGGAATGCCCAAGCTGTGGCCTACTATGGCTCTGAGATCCTGATCACATGAGTGCTTATGACTGGAAATTGGCCATCTTGCTTTTAAGCAGAGGGGATAAACATGATTGCAAATAAAAAGCATAGATTATCAGATTGTGAATATATTTTGGTGCATTTGTAATGCTGCCAAATAACTTTGCGTAATATAAACATGATATTTGAAGCAAGCACAACATGACTACATGAAATACAGCAAAATAATTGTCCAAAAGGCAAAGTTAGATTAAAAATGGAAAAGTGACACTGAAAAAAAAAAAAGGCATGCAATTGTGGGAAAGCATGGGTAGACATTTTAAATTGTTAAGTGGGAACAAACAGAGTTGGAACTGCTGACTCTAGCCCAAATTGAAACCAGAAAACACAGGTTCAGAATCATGCTGGTCCTCATGCTTACATCTACTTCTGCATAGGAATGGCCTCCTGAAATTAAGGCAGAAATCTGAGCATTTTTATTCCCCTTCCAGTCCCAAGTGTATGATTTGTTTGCCTTATTGTTGGTTTTCCTTCTCTGTCATCCACATGTTTCTCCTCAAATATGCACAGACCTGGGGATGTCTTCTT